CGCCTTCCCCCTGGGAGGCACCCACCCTCGCTACCTGTACCTGGCCAGTAACCACAGCAACAAGTGGGGTCACCCGAGGGGCTACCGCATCCAGACGCTCAGCTTTGCTGGGGAGCCATTGCCCCAGAGCAGCTCCATGGAGAGAGCCTTGAGCTGGGGGAGGTGAGTGGTGGTGTGTCAGAGGCTGCGGGAGATGAGAATGAGAAGGGAGCATTGAGAGGGCCAATTGGGAACTGTGAGGTGAGGTAAGAGTTTGGAAGGATTTCCTGGTTATCAAAAGGCACACAGTGGGCACATGGTCCGCCGGGGAACTAGAGCCCAGGTATGAGAATTCTTTTCTCTTTTGGATGGGGGAGGGGCCGTGCTATGAAATGGCAGGAAGATGAACAGGAGGACCTGGAAAGGTGTTGGGCGACCCACCTGATGACATCAGAGTCACTGTGTAAATGAGACAGGAAAACTGAGGTCCCTGAGCTCAGCTCCCTTCCATCATAATGAGGCAGTAGGATGGGGTTAGTGACCATAAAGGCCTGAGCAGTGCCTCCCTAGGTACCAACTGGCCGTGACCCGGCGGAAGGAGGAGGAACCCAGTAGCACCAGCATCTACAATCAGAATGACCCTTGGACCCCCACTGTGGATTTCACTGACTTCATCAACAATGAGACCATTGCTGGAAAGGTCAGTTGACCATGGGAGGGCCAAGGGAGGGAGGTGGGGACACAAAGATGAGCCCTACCTTCTCTTCTTTCTTTCTTTTTTTTTTTTTTTTTTCCTTGAGGAGGATTCGCCCTGAGCTAGCAGCCGTGCCAGTCCTCCTCTATTTGGTATGTGGGTCACTGCCACAGCATGGCCGCCACTCAGTGGTGTAGGTCTGCGCCCAGGAACTGAGCCCAGGCCACCAAAGTGGAGCGCACCAAACTTGACTACTAGGCCACGGGGCCAGCCGCTCTTTCTTCTTCTTCTTTTTTTTTTTTTTTTAAAGATTTTATTTATTTCTTTTTTCCCTCCAAAGCCCCAGTAGATAGTTGTATGTCATAGCTGCACATCCTTC